GTTACAAATGGCGCTTTATCGCCAATATTTAACACCTCAGAGTTATTCTGAGAACTACTTATTTCTAACGTATCATCATATATAGTTTCTTTGGTGTCTAACGTTTCATCATATATACTTTCTTTTGGAATACCATAATTATCCAACGTCTGATTATAATAGATCGATGATCCATCAAAATTCTCGGCTGGATTGTCGAAATTATTTAGTAATTCGTTAAAAGTATCGCCATATAAATCATTTTGTTCAAATGGTATGTTATCATATAACCCTAGACCACTTCCGTAGGGGCCCTGAGAATTAACATATAATTCATTCGCTTGAATTTGGTGATATATTTGAGGAACCGCGTAGAATCCTTGAGCTCCATTTTTCCAGGTTTCACTATCAATATATTGTATTCCTCCATTATCTCCACCAGCATATTGTGGAAATTCTATGTTATAATAAAATTAAAATATTCTAATGTATTCAAAATAAATCTACTGGGCATAAACCTTATACTCAAAAATCATACCATCATAACTTTTAACACTGCAAAGGCATCTTTTGATGGTTTAAAAAATGAATTACCTGTCCCAGATAATTGTGCGATTTCAGTTGTGGATTTTGGTAATATATTATCATAATCCAATTTATAATTATCATCAACATCAAGGTTGTCAGGTTCTTCACCTTCGACATCTGAAGTAGAATATAAAATGCTTAATTCTCGCATGAAAATAAAAGAATTCTTATTTATTTAATTATGAATTGTATACCATTATATTTTCGATATTGTGAAATAAACCGATCTTGCAAAGTCATTATTATAAGAAGATCTGTTGTATTTAAATCATGCGACCTTCGATATTTATTGTGAGTAGTAATAATCTTTCCAATAGTTAACTTTTGTGAATATTTATTGTCCTATAATAAAAATGTTTAAATTTCCATCTAAGTTCTACAAAGTTGCCAGGTTCAATATTGTATATATATGATAATAAACATACTTGAGTCAAAACTAATCGAAAGTCATCGACGGCTGAATCTTTAAACGTCAACACCACTTCATGATCATGTGTTTCATCTTGAATATATTCTTTTTTGAGATCTTGCATCCAATCACCCAAGCATATGTTTGACTTTACGTGCAATGGAAATTCTTTGCCTTCATATACCAAGATACAATGAGATTTCCCGCTATTTGAATGATCATTCTCTTTTTTAGAAGACTGCTTAACAGAAAGATTTGATGCACTCTCCAAATCATTGGGTACAACACCATCTCCATTGTTATCATAAATTGTTGCATCACCAGCGTTTAACCCATTATCATCAAAAACGACTGCATCTTCATTATCCGGATAAGATCCGTCGATCGTACCTAATTCATTTTCTTCTGGCAAGAGTTCGGTATCATTATTATCTGACACATGCATAGCTTTCTCTGATGGCTCTGTGCCTATATCAGTGTTAGCTTGTTCTTCATTTATTGACGTTGCTTCTATCTGTTCAGATATATCACCTTTAAAATCATTTTGAAGTGGTTGTTTTTCTTGATGTTCGCTTTCCACTAGTTCTAATGATCCATGTTGTGTCCCTGACTGTCCATTAACTTTCTCACTAGTTTTAAGTGAATCAGCTTCATCTAACAGATCAAGGTGCTCATTGTCCTTTGAACCGCATTTATCCAATATATTATCCTCTATCATGGTGTCTTCAAGAGGTCCACTTTCCAACCGGCTATCATCAGAATTCTTGTTCACCATAGAAATGCTCATTTCTTGAGCGTTATTATCAGAAAGTAACTTTGACATCTAAAAAAAATAAAAAAGTAGTAGTAATTAACAGAACAGACAATATAAATATTTAACGTTATACTTTAGCTTCTTGACAGATTAAGTGCTACTTGGTCTCGTGATGCGCAACTCAAACATAAATAATATAAATAATTGCGTATTTGATTTGTGAAACAGAGTACCGTTAATACATATCTATATCCAATAAATGATCTGGAATATTTTTTTTTTGTTGAATCAATGAATCCTGGAAGTGTTATCATCAAACTCCGGAAACACCTTATTACATAGAATATGTGTTACAAATCGAAGTCGGTTTTCTTAAATAAAAGTTCCCTTTTTAAATATTTTGTACTCATTCCACAAGTTGAGATTCATAAACCATGCACAAAATTTGCCTAACTTCAACTCTATTTTCTAACCTCTCTTGTTTCATGTTAGGATGATATGATTATCAAAGTATCATTTTTAAATTTGAAACTAACTCTAATAATAAATTGAGCGACAAATAAATTTTCTTTGATATCATATCCGCTCTAAAAAAGCTATGGGAAATTGTGGGAGTTCGGTAAATAATATACGCATATAACCTCTTATTAAACGTCATTTGATCAACTTTATTGATATATTAAATGATGTTTTTCAGAGAAAAAGAAGTATACAACAACCACCATATATACAACCTCAAGCACCAATACATCCTCCAGGACAAGCGTTTGTAATTCCACAATATCAGCCTCCTAATTTTACTTCACCCTATGCCCCACCTATTCCGCCCGTAACGGTATACCCTACTCAACCAGCCCCGATACTCATGGGCTCACCAGTAGAATACACTCCTCAAGAACAATACCCACCAATGGAACAAATTTATAACGAAGTTCATTATCCATCACACCCATCATCAGTTGTAATGGATGATTATGATTTTAAAGAATATGTTGAAGAACAACCAAAATTAGTCGAGGGGCATATTCCTACCCAAAATCAAGGTAATGTTTACTGTGAAAATTGTAAACAAAGATTAGTAGACTGTGATCCCGATGGTTATGCCAGCGATTTCTGCAGTGATGAATGTCGCCGAGAGGCATTAGCAGTCGGCCTATCCAATCCTCCATGTATCCAGTGTAAAGAATTTCCCCGAGTAAAAAGTTCCGAATTTTGTGGTGTGCTTAAATGTAGAAATCTACCATTATGTTTGACTTGCAAGGTAAATATAATATTAATGAATTTGATTCTTACATTATGATTTATAATATATTTTATACTACTATATTAATATTTTTATCTTATTTTCAAGGCTAAACGTGTTTATCCTCGTTCTCTTTGGTGCTCGAAATTTTGTCGAGATAGAACACCTAATTGGCGGCATTTAGTTATTGAAAGAAGTAACCAACTTTGTTTATATTGTAATAGAGACCGTGCAATATCAGGACAAGATTTTTGTAGTAGTCAATGCGAGAGCTTTGTTCATAGTAACGGTATATATATCATTACTGATTGTTACCTGATTAATCTGAATTTAAATCATTATTTAACGATCTACATACGATTTTTTTTATTTATTTTAGCACCTTGTATGCTTAAACTTCCGGCAAATAGTCAAAAATATAAAGACATTGGAAAACAATTTAAAGATGCTTGGAAACATCCACATAAACCTGTTCCTGAAATTAGTAAAGTATGGAAGATATATTGCACAGAAGCTTTAGCTTCCAGATATAGACTTTACCGAGAAGAAGTTGAAAAGAATCAACAATTGGCCGGTAAACCTTTTCCGAGAGGTGATGCAAAACGGTTAATGAGTGCAGGAAATGAACAAAGAAGATTTCATGGAACAAAAATGTAAGTCTTTGATTTATTTAAATGTATACATATGCATATATATATATATTGATTTATTTATTTATACTTGTTATCGAATAAATCACAATTTTTAGGTCATGTCTTATTGGCCTTAAAAATGATGGGCAGGTATGCAACGACAAGTCATGTTCGGTCTGTTGTATTATAAGGGAAGGGTATAAACTTAGGTTTGTAGGTACAGGCACAATATTTTCGAGATTTGGTAGAGGAATTTATTTCTCTGGTACATCATCAAAATCTGATGATTATAATGACGGTTCATTAAAAGATTTTTACGGCGTAAGTTATAAAGTAATGTTATTAAATAAAGTTGTAGTAGGAAAAGGACATCCACTTACTGTAGATAATATGACACTTACGAGTCCACCGCTTGGATATGATAGTATATTAGGAGAGCCTAGTCAAACTGGAAATTTAAATTATGATGAAGTAGTTGTGTATAGAGAAGAGGCATCACTTCCACAGTATTTGATTGTTTATAAAGCACAATGATTATTTATTTTTTTAATAATAATATTATAATTTTTAACCATT